GCCCACTCTGACCGGAAGGACCTAAGTTCGAGTACCGACGGTGGCAGAATTTTCAACACTAGCTAGACAGATAAGTCGAATTCGGCCGCTATCTGGAGGAGAATTTTACTGACCGATTGCTCTGGTTTCTCCGATCAATGCCAGGCGAATGCCGGAGCTGTACCCTACTCTCGATCTTTCCTTCTTCTTCCTTGTCCTATCGTCACCCCTTGCTTACACACACGCGCACTTGCATGCCCCGCACTACCACCATGAAGTGAGTGCAGTCGCGAGCTGAGAGCTCAGTTGGCGCGCCAGGAATCAGAGTCCGCAGCACGCTTTACGCTGCAACGAACCTCATCGCGCATCAGTCGGAACCGCAGCGATCTATCCCCCAAGAAACCCGAAGTGGAGATGACGACTTTCAAACGAGACCTCTTGGACGTTCGATTACACTTTTTGATTCATTGATTGATCGCGTCATCTCCTTTGGCCGTTAGTTCCGTTAAGTGCGGTGTTAGTTTTTACTGAAGGAGGAGATCCAGCGCGAACCCACACGTCGCCTTGCAGAATTTCCCAATTGAGGTCTCCCACCACCGGGGCACCGTCCCAGCCGGAACAAGCTGTAAGCTTCTGATTGAACTACCATCTGTAGAAATGTAGTGGATGTAAATGTGTGTGTGTGTGTGTGTGTGTGTAAGGGCTGAGGATAGGAAAAGGAAGGGGAAGGGAAGACTGCTCGCTGCTCGTGGCCCGTTTGCTAGGGAACTGCACCAGCTTTCGTCTGGTGTTAATCGGAGAAATCACAGAAAATTACCGGTCACAGCTACCTTTGGCCAGAATTCTCCTCGAGAGACAGCGGCTGAATACAAGCTTTGCCCTCTGGCTGGTGTGGAAAAGCCTGCCATCACGAGGAGTCCCAGTGACGTCAGTTGAGGCACTGCGCCGCCTCAGCTGGAGGGCATGCACACGCTTTGGGGGCTTGAGTAGTACAGGTTGGTAGGTACGTTCTATGTTTCTAATCTATTTTCGCTTTTCAAACATTCGTTTAAAGAGTTGTTGGCTCGAGCCCAATACCTCTTTTTAAGTTAAAAAGGATATGTATGAATCTTAAAATGACTATTGCAAAATACGAGTATTGAGAATATGTTTTGATTGCTTTCAAGAAAATCGTTTTGTTTACGGTAGTATTTTCATTTTAGGCACGGTGACTTCAAGCCAGGGAATCTTATGATAGGTATTTCAAAAAATACCGAATACCACGCAATCGATTGCATGAACCTGTCGCTTTATTACTGACATACGGGATAGTTGATTGACGAATACGAGTATTATGAAACAACAAATGGGAAAATTATCGAATGAAGAAAAAAAGCAAATGCCAACATTCCAAGAAAATAAAACGTCCCAAATCTTTGTCCCTTGCCTAGGCAGACCTTTTCAATGGGATGGAGTCGACGGAGACCCTCTAAAATTGACCAGCATCCAGAAAAATTTAAACGGCATTCCCAGATATATATCGAAGTTGGCCACTCATTTACATATCCATCATGAGTCACACTATCCTTTGCATGACTATACTATCACTGGAAATAATCCACATTTGGAACTTCGAGTCTGACGAATAATATCAGCGCATCATAAGCGAATAATATCACGTTGAATTTATAAACGGGACCCGTGAGATCGATCCACAAAAGTAACATTTTGGGAGGCGCTGAATGAGCAATTTAGTATCTCTGTTTTAAATGTTTATATTAATTAATTAATGTTTTAAATCAATAAATAAAAGTTCTTATCTTCATTATTGTGAGTTTTTTTATTTTTGTAAAATCTACAAAAATATACATCACACTGCAAAATCTACAAAAGATTTTTGTTAAATCTTTTGTATATTTTATCTTAGGAGCGAGTTTAGAGTGAGTGCTCGGGAAGGCTAGAATGTTAAAAATATTGTTTTTCATATGCGTCACGCAATGCAGCAGTAGATAAGACAAGTGTTAATGGAGAGTATGAATAAACGACCGGTCATTAGCTGAAGTGGCCACCAGCGCAGACTCATCTCCTGTACCTCCTCTCTAATTCGCTATAGCATGATGTTACTTGGCTTGTAGGTTAGCCAAAAGGGTATATATGCCGTCAGAGGTTTGAAAAAAGGGTATATATGCCGTCAGAGACCTGAAAATTCCCCTAACAAAATGGCAGAGAGAAGAAAGCACACGTGAAAAACTAACAAGGATTGATTACATTCATCAATTTCTTTACAGGGTCACTAGAGTCCGCATTTTTATGTAATTATGTTTCTTTTTTGAGTTCATGCCAAGCTTTGTTCAAATATATTCTTTCAGTTTCTGGCACAAATTCTAAACGCAAAAATGAAGATCATTCCCATTTAGTTTCTAAAATTCTGTCGCATCATCTTTTACATTTGATTCTTCCCCGGATTTCCTTTACACTTTCATATTTTCTCCCCTAATTTGCAAGAGATTAAAACTTCACGAACTCAGTGTAATTTGTGTTCACTTCTACTTCTGCAATTGCTCTCTTAAACCTTTTGTATGCGAATCCAGCATTGCATGCGAATCTAACATTAAAATGCGACTCTTTAGTATGTTTATGTGAATAAGGTGTTAGTTAAGTTTAATAAGATTACGTTGTGGGTCGCATTCATTTGAAAATCGATATTGGCACACTTAAGTAAGTCCGAATTCGAACATAAGAGCACAGTTTTTTCTCCGTATTCACTTGAAATTCTTCAAGTTTGATACATTGCAAGGCAATACTGTTAGTACGTTTTCGCAAATTTATTTCTAAAAAATACGTTAATTCGAATCTAAATTGAAATCAATCTGCAGCGCGATTTACTTGGTAATTCAATTGTCCACTTAAAAATATCAACATCAGTGTTGCCACTAAATTAAAGATTTTTGAGCTAAAAGTGCCTTGGGGTAATGGTGTTTAATCAACGTCACCTATATAGATCGATTTAGGAGGCGTCGGTTTGATTCCAAGCATCATCACAAAGTTGCAGAGCCAAAACAAGAAAAAACAGGTTTTTGGTAATTTATTTGAATCTTCTACCCGGATCCGAAAACAAATTATCAGTTCCCCATTAGGAGACAGAAACGCGTCGAATGACACCTCATATGTCTCGGTTGGTGCACGGGAAGTGGTCTAGCCGCGAGGGACGGGACCGCACATACACACATCCGCACATCCCCACACTCGAAATTTTACTCAAGTACTGTATAGGGATTATACTCCTTTTCAAATATTTATTACGTATTCTTATCATTTTCTTTGCATATATATTTTATTTTTTGCTGTTTCATTCTGCACATTTTTGCGGACTCTAGTCATCACAGTCATTTCCTAAAGAACAAATGAAAATGATGAGTCACAGCTACGAGCCTATCGAGTAGTAGGAGGAATGTGAAGGCGATAGAAGTGATCGTCCAGCTAGTTAAATGGCGGGAACCCCACGGTTATAGTATCAGCAAAACATTCTAATGGTTGTCTTATCTCTCGCCACATATAGTGAGTTCAGTCTCGTTTATTTTCTAACCTCACTAAACAATAACTGTTCGAAATAAATCAAGAGAAAAAGTGAATAAAAAGTTTGAAGGTGTCGAAATAAATTATAAATTTGGCACTGTATTTTTTTAATGCTATATCAGAATAAATATAGATGTCATGATAACATCAGATTAATGTAAAACTCGAATAAATCATACCGGATAATTATATTTTGAATTAATGGTATTTCAATGAGTATACATTCTACCGTTGAGTGTAACAGTGGTTACGTGGCAACGTTCGCCGGGAACACAGGCGAATGAGTTCCATCGGCTCATTAGTTGTTAGTCGACTTACTCGAGTCGCTAGGGGTCGCTCCCGTTCCGAACGCAGCTTCACTTCAACGCTAATAAATGTACGACGGCTTCCATTATGCTTTTCTAAGATTTTGCGTCTGAACAACCAGGCCGTCTGGGCGCCTAAATTCCGGTGCTTTCCGCAGGAAGTGTCAAATTGGGCGTGATCAAACAATTTAGGGGTGAGATGAATTTTTAGGTCATAATGTGCACAAGAACACACACTCGTACAATCGATTTAGCTATGTTTTATGACTATTATTACATTGGCATAATTAAATTGCAACATTTTTGTTAGCTTGTGTATTGTTGATATTTTGCATGCCATTTCCTCGACATAAATGTAAGTCGTTTTTCAGAGTTTCAACGAGACATCTATTTTGTTTAGATTTCAAATGTAAACAAAATAACTCTTAGTCTTACGTGAAAAGACTGATTAATTACTGGGACAGTTACATATGATATCAACATTTCCTTTACATTCAAATTTGTAGGTGTACCCCCGCCAATACGTACAGTAAACCCTTTGGTATGTGGCAAATGGAATTTCTGGGGGGGGGGTGATAGCTTTAAAATTGGGACGAGCAGCCACTTCCGACGGAGAGAGTGCTGGGCTCAAGCGAGCGCAGACTGAAACAAGTGGAATTGCACTTCTGTGCCCCTCTGGATCCCAATTCCGTGAAACTTTCTTATTTACACTTGACATAATGTTCTAGTAATTAAAAAAAATACTACAAGAAGATCAAATATATTTAAAGATACAATAAACAATTACAAATGATTTTATGTTAAATCATTTATAGGGATACCTGTTGTTTGAAAATCATCTTTCCAAAATTTATATCAATTCCCCAAAGTATCAGCTTAAAAAACCGTGAAATCATGACTTGATCCTATTTACGGAAATAAAGTGTTTTACTACGTAGGGCTTCAGGCCCCTTTCAAAATTTTCAGAAGCGTAACGCCCTCCTCTGCCTCTGTTAACGCCCAGAAGCGTAACGGCTCGGTACACAGCGAGGTAACACCCAGGTAGTACCGCCCCACCTGTCCCAGCCGCCTTCTCCAGCAACTTGACCATAAATTAAATTACGGAAACAAAATGTATTACGTAGAACATGGAGACGCCCCCGCTCGTGCGCCGCCGCCTACCTCCGCCGGCTTCTCCAGCAGCTTGGCCACCAGCTCGGTGGTGGTCTTGTGGAAGTCCTTGGGCACGTGGCAGCGCGTCTGGTTGGTCTCGATCCTGAGCATCGGCATGGCGGCGGCGGGGGCGGGGCGAGAGTGGCGAGAGTGGCGAGTGCGCGGGGCCACCGTCGCTCGGCGACGCACCGTCGGACAATGCGACGCGCGGCTCTCGCCAGCCCCAACAAAGCACAGGCGCGTTGCGCAACGCGCGTCACGTGGCGAGATAGCGCCGCCGCCAAAGGTCGAGGCGCGCAGTGGGCGTAGAGATGAATCTTCCCTCGCTGGCTGGCGACATTCGGCGCCGATCTGCCCGTCGGCTTTCAGGCTTTTCCCTCAACAGTGAGCTCCCGCAGCGGGGCCCAGTCTCGGCCGGGACGAGCTCAAGCCCCGACTGCTGATGTAGTGCAAGTGAGCCTAAGTGGGTGTAAGTAAGAGGTGGAGACAGGGCAAGGAAGAGAAAGGAAATATCGTGACCCGTTTGTTAGGGTACTCTTCCGGCATGTTATAAACACACTAAATACATTTTTAAACCAGTCCTTTAAAGTATTTCTGATTTCAGACCAATATCAGGCCCTAAAGATAGGAGCCGACTTGGAAACGAAGAACCGCGCGCAGTCAGTAGCTAATTGTTTAAGGTACTGTGCTATCACACGCTTAGAACGTACATTAAACATGATTATCAAACTGTGTTATTCCATGATTATAAAATTATGAAACTGTTCCTTGATATTACTGATGTATGAAATATTATGGTATTATTAAAACTGTAATGTTTCATGATTATACAGTTGAATTAGTATTACTCTAAGCGCAATCCATATTATTTCTTATGAAATATGAAAGTTATGATATGATTATTATGATTATTATTATTATGATATGAGACACACCTTTGAATTTCTCATTTGCTTCTCAGTCCGTGAATTAAAACTGAATCGAATGAGACTTTTCATAACCTTGGTGTTGGAGTTTTCTCGATTAGAATTTCCCTCTTACATCCGTCTGATACGCGACACAGGTTTACCTTCCTCTCCAGCAGCAGCAGCACACACTTCAGATTTTGCCTCGATGCTTCGTTCTTTCCTTCGCGTATTATACTTTGAGGGAATAGTGTTACAAATTGAATTCTTATTAAAAAACCCACCTGCTCCTTGTGCCCTTACCCAACGCTTGGGCCCAGTGTGCCAGGGGTGATGGGCTGGGCCTGGCGAGAGAACATGCGGAGCACTGGCGGATCGGAGAAATTGTTTTGATTGCTCTCTACGGAGCGTTGTATTCAATACACACAGATGTGAGTGAATCTCATCGAGTGGCCTTGTGTATTTCTAATTAAAGCGCTGAGCCACAAGGGCGCCTGGAGCGAGCGCATCTGCAACCGTCGTGCGCACACACGCAAGTATGTGTTTGTGTGTGAAATATAGCGCATGATAACATAATAACTGTAAAACTTATATAGCATGATGTTCTATCGCATGAGATAATTAATGATAGTCGACGTGAGACGGAAGAAAAGAGGGAACCTGGAATAGAGAATAAACAAAATGGACAATAAAAATCAAAATGACAATGGTGATAATAATGCTACAAGATATGTGACATTTAAGATGGTAAAGTGCTAGAAGTTTGGAATAAAAAAAATCAGATGTGAACATTTTCTCGTGAGTGAATTTTTTTTAATTCAGTGGTTGCACCAGACATTTTGAGGTTCTCCGCGCGTTGTCCAAAGTAGAAATAATCGAACCACAATAGTGTTCAATAGTCATTAAAACATATAAATCATATTGTTAATTTTTTAAAAAAAGTTCATTTTTTTATTCTGCGCAACTTTTACGTTGGTATCAAGACGTAGAAAGATTTATTTACAAACTGGATGAGAAATGCTTTATGTTAAATGTTTTTTTTTCTTTTTGTTCACGAAAACAATGCAAACGATAATAATTATCGTTCGAGATCTCGCATGCGGAAAAGCTCTGCAAGCACCGAAACCAAGAAACAGAAAGGGCTCTTTCTTAAGCGTGCGCAGCCTGAAACCAGAAGACGAGCCAACTACATCTCTGAGTCCCCTTCTCCATTTAACTTTTCATACAGGACATATTTTAGTAGTAAATAAATAAAAAAATACTACTAAGAGAATTAAATTACAGCTTGAAATTACTGTTGATAAATACAAATGCTTTTCTGTTAAACTATTTAGAGAATTGTTAGGCCTGGAGAGCCTCTTCACGAAGTGCTTAACAAATTCCTGAATTTTTTGAATTTGACACATTAATTTAAATTATTGCGAAAAGTTATTACATTGTACTTTTTCTATGTTTATTATAATTGTAAAATTTGCATAAAATAATAGTGGCCGTTAATGACCTCCGCTGTTTATAAAACGACCTAAATTAACTAATAAATTCAAAAAATCCCTAAACGCCAAGTAATCCCTAAAAAATCAAGAACAGGTACAGAAAAAATGTTTGATCACGTGTGGCTATGGAGCCCGTGGCAAAGTATTCACGCGGGCCACGGCCCCCTGCCCCCTTCCTAAGCACACGCCATCAAGGCGTTCTTCGAAGGCTTCAACCTTTCCTTTCCCCAAAAGAAACTGCACTCATCAAACGTACATTTGGTCTCAACAAATCTAATCTCAAATGGAAATAAATCCCACGAGCAGTCTCAATAGCCCTGGTGATGCGCACGAGCGGGCCGAGGGCTCGCCATGGCGCGCAGCGAGGCGGAGGGTGTCGGGACGCGAGCATCTGTGCGCTTGTGGCTTCCGTTGACCACGGGGAGCTGCCTGGCTTGCCAGCAAGATCATTTCAGATGTCGATATTGCTGCAATATTTAGATTACTGAATGAAATTAAATGTAAAATAAATGTTTCTACTACATTTTAAGTATTTCAGAGGCCCCTGGCGTTGCGCCACCATGGCACCTAACCAAGAGCCGCCATAGAATACAAATTATCTTACTGATTAAATTTTATTTCAAGGTCACTGCGGAAGTTTTGAGATACACCTATATGGAGATTACAATTTAACCAAGAACTTCTTCGCCCCCCTCCCGAAAATAAATTCTGGATACTGGCTTAGCTCGAGTGGCGAACGTCCCCTAAAACCAGTGTTAATTGTGCACACACATTTTAACTGCTTAAACGATCTGTCGAGCATGTTTCCTTAAACGGTAAATCAGGAAACGATAATGACAGTATCTAATCTAGTCCTTGAACTTCAATGCAGAGTTTTAAAAATATGTTTACTAAGAAGACATTTGATAAGAGCTGCTGATGATAGAGAAAAAAGTGAATTACAAAAGTAAAACACACTTTACGTGCAACGTTTTCAGTATTCAAGTGTAAATTGAGTGAATTTTGAATATTTTGAATTATACATGATATTGCAAAGATAATCAAATATATAAATGTTTTGCGAAAGAAAACATAACAATTATTCTAACTCACTAGAAACTCATAATTATATCGATCGCTATATAATTATATACATTGATCAGGGGTCTATGACTTACGGTAAGGCAAGATTGATTGTTTGATCATTTTAAATACACTGAGTGTTCGATTAGTTCGATATATTCAGGAGTGACCATAGATCAGCCACTATGCTATGTTCAAATCCATATGCGTTCTTAATAAAAAAAAAACTCATCATGTTATTTACCATATTGTACAAGAGCAACTCATTTATAATGCACAGGTGACATTTCATTAGTTTCAACGCTCCACACTTAACGCGCCAAGGCATGCGCACGGAGGGTGCTGTGGCCGCCCTGAAAATTTACAAAACGCCTCATACCTTTATGTACTAAAACATTTTATTTTCGTAAATATGCAAAATCTCGAAAAAATGACGCGTAGCACCTTTGGTATCAGAAACATTTTAAAATACACAGAAATGATAAACTTCTATCGGATGCGGCAGCAGAGGGCCAATGGCCAAGCTAGAATAAATTTTAAAAAAAGATGATAAACTGATGACCTCATTAGTCTGTTTATTGTCATCGTTACATTTGAGCAAGTATTGATAGGGTTATACTACAAACTCGGCGTTAAAATGCATTTTAATGTTTATTTTGTAGCGTTTTAGTTTTTTGTAAAAACAAATGGTACAAAAAATTGCAAAATAATTGCATATAATTTTGCTGGCCAGTTTTGGTACATATTCAGTCTACTTCAATAAAATTTATAATGTACTATTCGGGTACATTTGCAATGCACTTGCTATTTTTGATTATTTTATTTTAACTTTTAAAACAATGTTCGAGTTGTATCTTTGTAATTTCTATAGATACTACGTGTTAATATCAGTTCCACCAAAATAACAAACTTGTTATACTGAGAAAATTTTAATAAGTTATTTTATAAATTTTATGAAATCATATTATATATTCAAAGAAGAGGAATGAAATATATGAAAAAAATTCCCCAAACTAAAACTAAAAGTCAGAATCAACCAAACACACGACCCGGCCAAATACTACACCCAACCAAAATAACATTTCAGAAAAAAACTGAAAATAATGTCATGTGTATTTTAAAAAAAACTTTGGGTAGGATAAGGATCCCAGAAGTGTAGTTAACTTAAGTTGCTCAAGACCAAGCTTACGTGTTCTCTCTAAGGCACGTACATCACGTTCGTCACCCCATAGAATTTTCTCCAGGACAATGGACATTTAATAACGATGGAAATTCGCACTTATAGTGCATTTCATTTTAGTCCACACTAACGTTCACATCCATACATTTACCATTTGGTCCATGAACCTTGGCTTATCCGGTGGTGGTTTCTGGTAACTTTTGAAGATTCAATTTAACTAGTAGCCAACAGCAGCAAAAATTCTACTGATCAAAACCGTACAATATTGTTTTCCAACAAGTGTCACACATATTGTTAAAGAACAAAATAATATACTCTTACAAGACAGCAATAAATTAAATATATTTAAACAAAAACTCATCCACGGTCAGAATCCATGTTTTGTGGGTCCTTGAGACCGAAAAGTCGATTCACGGCAAAACGTGTCTGTCCGTCGGTCAGTAGTCAACGCTAGCGCCTAAAACGTTCAGCAGATTTTGGATATGTGGATTTTGAAGGGTACTTTATATAAAGCCTCAACAACATTTTCAAAATTTTCTAAAAAATACTCCAATTTTCTTAAATTAAACTTTGTTTTCCCAAAGAGTAAATAGCTATTAAGAGAATGCCCCAGGGCTCACTTTTGTAGAAATCCCTGATTTTCCTAAAATTGCAAAAGATAATTTTTTCCGAATCTTCCTACAACCGCAATATTGAAGATAAAGATGTTTTTCTGAATAAAAACTGTTTTTAAAGACACTTTAAAATAAGGTCATGTTCAATTTTTCGTAAAAGTGAGTAGTTTTCATATTATTTTAAGTGAAATATAGGCAATATTTATATTTTTAAACAATTATTTTCTCAAAAACTGTTTCATTTATTTCTTTAAATTTTCTCCCCATATTTTTCAAAGGACGGTAAAAATATTGGTGCTAGTCTCATTTCTGGCAAACTGTATTTTTGAAAACTGCAAAAGAAATTTCAAAACTACAAAATTAACAATAAAGATATTTGCCTTAGACAAGGATGCTTTAAAAAATGTCAGGTTTAATTTTTTTTTTAAAAAGTAGTAGTTTTTACGTAATTTATGCGTAAAATCATGCAATTCATAAAAGATACATTTCCTCAAAAATCGCTCCAACTTTTTTTTCACATATAGCACAAGAAAGGCTAAAAAGAATGACACGTTTTACTTTTGTTAAGCTCTCTGAACTTTCAAAACTTTGAAATTTGGAAATGATGCGAAAAAGTATATGCTGTTTTAACACTGCTAATTTTATAATATAAGAAATTGCGAGTATTTTTGATTGAAAAATGTTATTTTATGAATATTTTGAATCTAGCATCAAAACTTGTACATACACATAAATAGGGAGCAGATTTCTATGGTTTTGAATATTTTTGTCAGTTGCTTCAGGGCATAGCTAAGTGAAATTTCTTGCCCGTTGGTTAGAATTGAATGCTGCATAGATTAATACGTTAGTGCCTATTTGACCGATTTTTCCTGCTGGTACATATTCGTGTAATTATTGGGGTATATTTTGCATATTTCGTTAAAATTGAGTGTTTCATCTTTTCATATGATCTATAATTATTTGTGAGCGTTCATCAATTACAACAAGCTTGTCACAGTGTTTTTTCTTTTTTTTTTACTATGAATGATAAAATACTTGTGCAAATGTAGCAAACTTGCAAGTTTGGTAGAAGTTTCGTTTTTGTAGGAACAATCTTCTGGTCAGTGTAAAAATCATGAATAGTGTATCTAATTACTCTTTTATCGTAATTGTCCAACAGGATTTTCCCGCGTGTTCTTCTTCTGACAACAAATAAAAAAAGTTTCATGCACTTCCTCTTCTCGAAAAAATTAAACATACTAAATATTTGCAAAAAAGATGTGTCACGTATTTCGTTTCATAACGACAGTATCTCTTTTTGCCTGGAGTTTTAGGTGACTTATCTGGGCGCGAAACCTTCATTTTTTATTCTTTCACTGATGCCATGCTAGCACCCCGTGTAAATGGTCGCCCTCTTTAAAGTAGTGAGAGAGTCTGTGCTATTCATAGCACCGCTAGTTTATTCATTATTCATTTATCAATTTAAAAAGCAAACTTTTTAACAACAAATGTTTTCTGAAGCAAACATATCTTCAATTTTGTGGATTTGATGTCATTGCAATTTAAAAAAAACAAACAAGCAAATGGGCTGGTGCCATATTTCTTACTATTCTTTATTATATACATGGAGAAAATTTAAAGAAATATTTGGAGTGATTATTTTTTTCTAAATATCAAGTGCAAATGAAGCAAAAGTATAATTTTTTCAAAAAAATTGAACATTACATTTTTTAAAGAGGTAATTCTGTACAACCGACTTTGCCCGAGTCAAAAACCCATCTTCAATTTTGTACTTTATAAAATCGTTTTTTGTAACTTTCAAAAAAAAAAGACCAATACCCAAAAATGGGACTACCACCATATTTATTACCTTGTCTTATTACATTTGTGAAGAAAATTTAAACAAAAAATTTGGAATGGTTTTCTAGAAGAAAAAAAAACGTAAATTTGAAGCGCAAATAACCGAATAACTACTAACATATACAAAAAATTTTACAGGACCTTGTGTATGCCAAAAATCACTATCTTTAATTTTGTAGATTTAGAACATTTTTTAAAATTTTTGAAAAATCAGGCAAGTTAGTAAAAACGAGATCTTAACCATTCTCTTAAACGTTCTTCGCACTAATGAATAACAAAAATTAATCAAAAAATTTGGAGCTATTTTTAAGAACGTTTTGAAAATGAGTTTGAGGATTTATGTGAAGTACCTTCAAAAATCAAAATATCTCTTTGAAATTCCCAAAGCCAAGAGTTCATTCAGAATTTGAAAAAAAAAATCAGCTGAACGGTTAGGTGCTAGCGTTGACCACAGACGGAAGTTTTGCCGTCAAACTATTTTTGGCTATGAAGAATCGACAAAACATGGATTACAGCTACACCACAGGTTAGAGGACTTTTTCTAAATTTAGCAACAGCATTTATCTACTTCTTCATTACCAGAACCCGGCAATAATTTTTTTCTGACGAAAGTTTGGCTTTTTCTGCTGCACGAATACAAAACTTACTCTTCTTACGAAGAATTCATATGACGAGAAAGTAAAAATTCATAGAAAATCACATAAATCTACTGAAAGAGAATTGTGGTCACCAAAACACAATACTAAAGTAAGATTCATGGAAGCTCCTTCATCACCTGCAGGTTACACCAACAAATGCCACATTTTATGAATATGCAATGAGCAAAGTATCTTTTTTTAAATATATCATTTCCACAAAAGTAATGTTATTATTTCTGTTCATAGTTCTTTACATAAGCTCATGAATTAGGAGAAAGGATTAGGAAAACAATAATTTCTTCTTTTATGAGAAATTTATAATGATTTCACAGTATAATATTGTCTTTTCAGAAGTGCAACATTTTATTGAACACATTTTCTACACACTTCAGTCTTCAGTAACAACAGGGTTGCAACTTATTAAGTAAAATTTAGAGCTAAGTATAGTCACGTATCTCAAAGATTATTTACAAGTATTAAAAATATATGCAGCTATTTTTAGCATTTTTAAATTACCAGAAACAAAAGGTATTTTTATTTCTATGTGCAATACAACTGATAAGTGATATGAAAATTCCATTTGAAATGGTTTTTGCGTGTATTATATAATATATCAACTATCAAAGCTAAGGAGATAACAAACTACATCCCTGAATCATAGATAATTTATTGCAATACCTCACAACCCTTTGAACTACTTGTGGCTTCTGAAAGTTAATGAACACCCTATACCATGCACAATAATGCTAATATTTACAACCAGAAGTTTTCTCTCTTTTGTCAAGTAATTTGTTCTAAAATAGGTAGAATATAGGGAAACCCATTATTAATTATCTATAAATAAAATAACATTTAAAAGAGAAAAAGTTGATTAGGTAAATAATTGCTAATTGCAACTGAAAACGCGAAATAAATAATTCCATTCCACAAATCATTTCATTTTTAATAGAAATAACGAATATGTTTGGGACAAAAATCTTAAAGAGTTAAATGTCACAAGAGATGAAAAGTACAAAGAAAGGCTGAAGAAGACATGTATCAATTTGTCAGATATATTCTTATACTGCACTTCAATTGGTAATGCTACATACATTGACTTTGATTAACGAAATTAAATATAGGCTACCGTTTTCATTTTTTTCTGATATAACATGATAATACATTCACATTTTAATAAAATATTACTTTTGCTTTGATGGTTTTTGATTTCCATGGACGTTGTAAAATTTCACAGCATGATGATTTTGTAAAATGCAGCTCTTGCAATTTTCAGTTATGCAAGGACACAACAAGTCAACTCGGATTTTGCAAAATGCTAAGAATTACTAAAAGATTACTCCACACAGAATCTGAAATATACACCTGAAAGATATAATCTTACGGTCATTAAAGCCTTTCAATAACAATGAATTTCAGAAAAAGATCCTCACCCCATTTGATATGAATAGAAACAAACGATTTTCTTATGCCAAGAACATTTTTCCAAATCAAGCGAAATAGTAATAGCTTAACCTAAGAAGACTTAGCCTCGTGCTGTTTTAAAAGGAAACCTCACTCAATCTCAAGGTTCTTCCATTTTGATTGAAGCACAGATTTTATTGCTTATTATTTCTAATTTCTTTATGCTCATATCTCAAGGATTCATTTTGAGCTTGAGAAGATAAACAAATTATTACGTGATTTCAGCTTACATTAGCTGTTTTTAAATAGTCATTTCTCAAGGACTTCATTTACAAGCAAGTAAAGTGAACAAAGTAAATCACAAAATTTAATTAGAATTACAGTACAAACGTTTCCAACAAAAATTCCAGAAAAAGGAAAAGGATATATCAAAGAGCCCAAAGGTTCATTAAACACACCGACTGCTAAAGGCCCTCAGGCCACTAGGTTAGACCTAAAAAATAAATTTAGCAACTGGAATTATCCACATTTTCATTACAAGGGTTCAGCAATAAAAGTTTTTCTGCCGAATATTCACCGCTTTTCCCTGGCAGCATTACATAACTTTCTCTCTATTGCACAAGCACTAGAAAGAAAGTAAAAATTAAAGAAAAAGAAAATTATACCTGATTTTATGTATATGTGAATCAATACAATCAAGAAATGACAATTAAAGCACAGATCCACAACAAACCATCAGTAAGAATGTCACAAAGAAGCAACCACCAATAGTCAGGAATCAATTGATAATATCCCATGAACTGGCGATCTAATTTAGAGGCCAAGTGTCACAGGCATTGTATGATTTATCTACAAGCCAGAGATTGTGTAAATCTTGTCGTACATTCTTCAGAATAGAGCACGAGCCGCCAGCAGCCACGCAACATCCTATGTGAGTCACCACTGTGGCCGCCAGTGGCCACAAAGCAGTCAATGTGTTAAATAGTTTTTTTTGGTAATTATGAAATATTGAATTTGAATGTTGAAATTGAGATCACATAAATTCTTGAATGTATATACTGGGATTCTAATTATGAAAGTCCTGAAGCAATTTTTTTAATTACTGAACTGGAACAGTTTTAAAAAGTAAAAAATTTCAACACAATGAAGATATAATTTAATGTCCAAGTTTCTATATCTAATATTTGTTTATATCAGAACAACATAGTGAGATTTATTTTCAGGGATACCAATAATTTTTACTGCTACATCTGCATGTAACAATACCTTTAATCTATTTTTTCTAGTATACTTTAAACTTTATTACTGTATGTAAGCAATTGTATTACATTTTTAGCTCAAGACCAGCTTGTAATCTCGTATGAAACAATCAGAAAAAAATTGACTGTCTATTATAAGGCAATTTTCTAATATAATAATTCAGTTGCAACCCCAAACATGTTTATTTACATATCAGTGTCATAATACTTTCATACATTACTCTTTCTCTACACTAAAATGTAATGTAGTAAAAGAGAAAAAATCCTAAGGAAAACACAATGAAAAAAATTAATTTGGCATTATATTATTGTGTACTGAAAAAATTTTCAATACACATTTTACAAACAAAAACTATTAAGAAGGAACTACTGGTAAATAAAACAAAACAAATACTACTCTGTGAACTAAAACCTAATATGGAATGACACTTCAATATTCAAAAAAGGTTTCTTCAATGATAATTATTTGCATCAATAATTCAGTGTATAAAATATGCTAAAATACTGCAGTAATGAACTATGGTAACATATCTGAAGAACCTAACATTCTTCCAGTAACTGCACATTAGCAATGACAAGCACTACTTGTTCAACCAAGATCTACTTACTATTTTCTCATTGAGAAAATTAAAATGACATTGTAAGGATACCTACAATTTGTGGCTGCTCTCAATAATATTACATAAAACAAAAAATGTAAAAATTAATAAGTACATTTCTCACATACTCTTCATAATCTCAGTTTTCATAATATATATATCAAGTTGCTACAACTTGTATTCATTCAAGAAATATAATTTGTACAAATCAAGGCCATGGATAGTTCACAGATTCATTGCAACTCTAAAAGCAACAGATTCTCTTTAGATTGGCAGTGAAATAAGGCCAGGTAAAAACCATATGTGACTCTCAGGTACCACATAGTTTCAAACATATTGAAACTTACATTTCCACAAGTCTTAACTTATTGGCAAGTTTCAAGGCTAATATATGACACCTGCAGACTGAAAAGCTGTGCATAATTTCGGTCTCATGCATCTTCTCCAGAAGTGGCAGCTGCAGCAGCACCAGTACTAGCAGCACGGCCTCGTCTCACACCTCCAGCCACCTGGCAGCGATGCTGCATGGCCTCTTCGTAAGCCTTACGCACCGCCTTCCGTTCTGTGGGCTTCCGAGATTCTGTCAATTTGGACTGATCTACTTCGCTTGATATTCCCAAGGGCTCCAGTTTAATTCTAGGAAGCCATTGCCTAGAGAAATCAGGATGATATTAGGATCCAAACAATGAAAAAACTCATTAAAATATAATGCAATTTGCGATTTAAATGGTTTGAAGATATAATGTGACTACCCCTAATTTTTATTTATTTATTTCTGATTAATTTATTTAACATAAAAAAATGTTAAAACTGTGTGTGACACACTAAGACGAGAAGTGTATTCTGTGCAAGTTTTATTAAATTCTGGGATGCCTACCCCAACCATATACAAGTTGAATTTAAATACAGATGGATGACCATTTTTCGCAAGAACTGATAAAATATTTGTTCCCTTGAAATAAAAACTAATTGCAAAGACAAATCCACAACAGATTTTGACTATTATCCTCATTGTGTCCTTCATGAAGAAATCTACTTACAGCCTCAAGAACATGGAGAATGATAACTTGGTTTACTGTATTTTGCACTGAACTCTACAAAAAATGTACAGATAGAAGAAGTTACAATTACATCCACAAACAAAACAAACGGCCACCTCAAGCAATTGCTCAACGAAACTGGACAAAAAACCTGATCGAGATGGGGGTATTGATCCAGAAGCTCAGGTACAATTTTTTTTGTGTTGAGAATATAATGTATGTTTTGGAGAACTTGTTGAATACCTATATACACTACATCAAGTGTTGTAGTTACAGACATATGCATGCTCTTAAGACAAGTTCCTAACACCAAGCAAGTAATTGACAAAATCGCGACAAGACAAGGCAAGGCGAGGCAACGGTAAAATTCCTCGATTAATAAAGAGAGACTTACAAGAATTACACGGGTGTGATTATATGTTAGGGTATTTTATTCACACAATTATTTTTTGTAGTCTATAACTCTGAGAGCTATAGGATGTGCTTCCATTGAATATTATGCCCTCTCTCACCCCAAGGAATGAACATTCTCCAATTCCACACAATCAGCAGTTGGAAGGCTGATGGAATTTAAAGGAATTTTGAACAAGTAACATAGTGAACTTCATTTTGTATTCAAATTCACATAAATGGATGTTCCAATTGAGGCTTGACTAAATTGAGAGACCCACAAATTTTGTAAACTTAACATCAGTGGCGGCTCTTGCACAAATGTTCAGGATAAGCAAAACACAATACTCAACAGCAGTGGATCCCTGGAAGGGGGCTTGGGAACCATGCCTCTCATCTCAATGCAATTTTTTTGGTAAGTTTATTCAATTTATTCAAAACAATTGTCCCACTATCATTACACTCTAAAGCATTATTTTCATGAAGCACAAGCACAAGAGATTTCTGATGTCATCAAGCATAGACCCAGCAGGCTGCTGTTCTATGCTCACTACAAGACCTTTTCTCAGAATACGGTGCGAAGCGAGGCAGTGCCCAGGTGTCTATCCTGAGAGGTGCAAGAGGGCACATGCCTCTATGGGAAGAGATGAGACAAGGTGCGATCACATAGTGCATGGAATGTTAGAAATCGCCAATGAAAATTGAAATGGAATTGAAACGAAACTGAAATGGAAATATGGCACATGCCTCAATAATGAAATGTTCCTTGTACATTTCCAGATAAATAATACTTACACCATTTTCAAATTGTATGACGCATTTAATTTTATATTATGAAATGTATTAATCAGGGTAGGCAGGGACTACCTTGCCTACCCCAAGGAGCTACCATTGCTTATATAAGTAAATTGCACATCATTCGTTTTCAATGGATCCCTTAACCGTAATAATGATTGACAAAAAACTTACCATGTGCGTTTAGTGTCGAAGAATAAAACCAAATAAACAGGTTCATCATAATTACTGGCTAAAGCTAAAACATCCACAGGTGGGGCTGGGATGGGTACGCCTTTGTGCACATACCCAGACCTTGGCATCTTCGGATCAATTATCTGAAAAATACAGATCACAGTCCTATTAAATTGCAGTCAATAAAAGACAACAGAATATGCTTTATGCAAATGGCCTGGGCTGTTACTTGCTTGATGAATCCTGTAAACCCTTCATTGATTGGTGGATGATGATTATGAATTTTTTAACTAAAAAAGGGGGAGGGGGAATGCATTGTGCACCATCAGGGATAAAGATGGGCTATCCCTGGTGTGCAAGACCCTCCCCCACTAAAAAAACCCTCTCTTCTTGTGCCCATGCTTCAGTCCACGGAAATTGTTGCTAGACATTACTTTGTGGAGAGACAGGTGGTAGGCAGTTAGATAGGCTGTAACTGCAGTTATTTACAGAGCATTTCTTCTTTCCTTTTCACGAAGAAGGTGACAAACTCTTGTATTACGCTTCAGTCTTTACTTGATACTAAGTTTCACCATGGGAAGATATCCACGTCCAAGGCTTCGTTAAGTTGTGTTCTCCAAGTACCCCATGTAGCGCATAAATATAGTATGCATGGCATCATCGTCTTCGTATCCACAAAATTTACATTTGCGCGCAGCTGCTCTTTTAAATCTAAACAGATAAGATATAAGGGCGGCTGTGTCCTGAAAGTACTTTGGAAAGGAAGTAATTTACCTCACCATGGTTTCTGCAGAACCAGGGTTCGATGGTATCATCGTTGTCCCACTTCACTTGCCATTCTGCCAGCAGAGAAGTCCGCACCCTCTTCTTCATGTCCTCTTTCCTCCTGCACAGAGGTCCGTCTCGGACAGAGACAGATCGCTTTCTGTTCTCTCACCAACAGATCTACAACAGGTACACTAGCCAGTATCCCTACTGCAGTATCCCGACTGTGCGGTAGGCTGACACTACTCTCAGCACCAACCACCCTGTGCAGGCTACGTTTCAATTCTTTGGGACCTCAATATTTGTCATTAATCTGAAGTGGGCAGAGCATGACTTTGCTGCCTTGTCTGCAGTCTTGTTAATGTGCAGACCAACTCTGAGTCTGTGGTCAATCCCGTCTCCAGTTAATGTTCACTTCCCCAGCTGAATATTTGGGGAACGGAAAGCTCTCTGGTCCGTGATTAACACAGCTTCTGTTTTCTCCACTGCCATATGTAGGAGTCTCCTGACAAGCCACCTTTTTACACTAAAAAGAGTTTTGATCACATTCATCTCCAGTAAGTTGATATCGTTGCTATGGCAGATAATGAGGGAGTCATCTGAGTAACCTACAAGCTGGGAGCCTGACGGGGTGTCAATTTGTAATAAACTGTCTACAAGACATTCAATAACAGCGAGCACAGCCCAGAGTCTTGGACCACACCATAAGACACATTGTCTTCGAATAAGGAGTCTGAGTACATTTTTCTTCTTTCGCGAAGATAGCCTTTGAGCATCCTTACGAGGTATTCCAGGACATTTTTGTCTACCAGTGCTTCCATCTGGCAGAGTTCAATGTGTTTCTTAAATCTACGGCAACTATCGCACAGAATCCTTTCTCCTTCTCATCACCGCACTTGGCTGTCTCTGCAATACTGACCACCTTCAGGATGGCACCTGTCATCAAATGTCCCTTCCGGAAGCTACATTGCCTGAAAGATAAATTTGCCCCTAGATGTTCCCTAAGTCTTGATAAAATGAGATCATCAAGAAGCTTGCCCAGAGTATCCAAAAGACAAAGCAATCTGAAAGACGAAGTCTGATTTAGTCTTATTGCCTTGTCTGCAATTAACCTATTTAAATTTCAGGCTGCCCAGTCTTTGCCACATCTACCTACATGAGGATGATAACCCTGATTTGTAGTGACGGAAAATTTTATGTACAGAAAATTTCATGACACATCCTCAAGTATATCCCAATCCTTGACACTCCTACTCAGCTTTGTGGAGCCTATTGTATTATCAAAAACTGAGGACGTATTATCTCATTGGGAGGTATACTTGTCACTGTTATTTAGGATAACTAGGTTGCTTCTTGCGACAAACTCTCAAACAATGGCTCCTCACTTATCTGACTTAAGTCTCCTCCCGTTCTGAAGATTTACTATTTAAGTCACCTCCTATAAGAGTTTTTCATTTTGCTGATGTTAGACTAGCTTCAAGCTCGGCAACGTCCCTCTCAAATTTCTCGTTCTGGCTCATTCTTGTGGGGAAGTAACAGCTGTAAATCCTAACTCCACTTACTTCCACCCAGACAAATCCCAATTTTGTCCTCTTGAATGCTTATACCCTAAGCTTTTTATTGAAGACAATTCCTGCTCTTCTTGAGGAATCTTCTTACCACATGGCCTCATCACCTATATAGTACTGTTTGCTGACTTGACTAGTAGCAGGTCAGCTTCACTTTCAGTGACAACCTGAGTTAAGAGGTCTTGCACTTGCTTAGTTTTCCTCACATTGATTTGTATAACCCTGAGCGTTCTTGGGCTTGAGTTTTCTTTGCCACGATGAATGAGGCACGTCTGTAACATCCTAGAAGATGGTCATCGCTCAGGTTTTTGTCCTTGCAAAAGATGCAAAGTATTTCACCTCTGGAGTCCTTTGCGAAGTGTCCATCCTTACCACATTTATAGCACGTTTTACTTCAATCAAGACTGGAACACCATGGGTATTACATGTCTGTACTCAAGGCACCTGAAGCATCTCATTAGCTGCTACTCCTCCCTGATCTGACAATTAATCATTAATAATATTAACTTTTATTATTATTATTATTATTATTATTATTATTATTATTATTATTATTATTATTATTAATGTTGTTGTTGTTGTTGTTGTTGTTGTTGTTTGATACCCAAAATGTGCCTTCAAAAAAAAATTAAACAGCTTAAGCCAGGTGACGTTAGGCCGGTTTCACCAACCAGGATCAAAATTCGTAGTTGATTCGAGTTTCGCCATGATCCTTGATCCGCGGAGTCAAGGCCGACTTGATCCCTGTTGCGTTTCACCACATTTTGGGCAGACATCGAAAGTTAATCCGGGATCCCATGATTCGTGAGCAGGTCGTGGAAAATTGCGCGCGTTCGGCAACATTTGCAATGCATTGTGGGTATCTCGCGGTCAGCTTAGAAACGAGTTGTTGATTTCATTTTCGTTCCGTCTGTGTGGTGTTCTTGTTTCGGTCGATGGATTCACCTGACGTGCGAAATAATGCCAAGACTCGCCCAATTTCTTCTCCAGTTAAATGAGAATTACTCGAAAGCTTAATGCAGTAAATACAAAGAAAGTTTTAATGCTCGTCTCAACATTTCAAAATAATCGCTTATTCTTTGGGAATTACTCGTGGTGTCTCTCCCAGCAATAAGTCTTCAATGACTTCATTAATAAAATAATAATATTTTATTGAGTTCACATTCGAAAACATAATATTTTCACGACACAAATACCCTAACAAGTAACAAAAAATTGAAAGTGATTACACAACTTAAAAAAAAAGTATTCAATAAAACTGGCCCACGTTCAATTGGAATACAGATACCACAAAATTGCTTTTTTACTATGCTACTTATAATTACATTAAATCTGCAAGCCAAAATATATTTAAAATTTTACTTCCCAATACCGAGAGATTCTAACCTTCAATTGTAACCCTACTTTTTATTTTACAATACATCTTAAAAAACACGTTTTGCTCAACAAATATTTACGCGTAATCCTACTGTCTTAACGAATACCTTTCCATACGAATCTAAGTCCCAAACTACAGGTGTTTACTTAAAAAACACGGAAAACTGGAATAGCTAGGACGACCAAGACGAGAAATAACCCTGATCGTGGCCGTGATCCACCGCTCGCGGACGGATCAATTGCGAGTCAAAAATTTGATCCGAGTCAGAACATGTTGATGTTCGTGTCAGTGCGTAGAGAAACGTACAACGGGATCAAACGAAGTTTTGATCCGGATTCAAACTCGGGATCTCATCATTTCTTGTCGATTTACCTGTTGGTGAAACCGGCCCTTAATGGACTAACTTCTGAAACCCTACATTCATTCTTGAAATGCCAATAAAGGGCTTACAGAATAAATCATCAAAAAATAATTTTGACCCTAAAGGAAAGTTATACATTTAAAAAAAATAGTTTTTTGTTTAAATCATATCAGCAGTACCTCATATCTCAGGGAACAATTATTACAAATATGTTAATACATTCAAAACAAAATGAAATAACATTCAACACAAATATTTCCTTTCCTAAACGTTGAACATATCCCCCGTTTTTGAAATGAAAAGAGAAACATGGTCCTTACCAGGGCTGGGTACCAAGGGTAGCCGCGGCACTTTGCCCACACTAAATCAAGAGGCTCCAGAACACTTGTGTCACTAAGGCTCATTGTTGTTGCTGTTGCTGCTGCTGTTGTTGTTGTTGTTGTTCCACTGGCAGCAGAGGGGCCTCCAGTTGTTGTGGTCCCAGCTCGTGGAGTGGCTGTCGATGCTTCATCCTCAGCTGAGGACTCCCCTGCAGATGGGTGTTGGAGGTCGATGCTGGAGGAGGCCCCTCCACTGGATCCTGTGCTACCCTCGGTGGAGGAGCAACTGGAGCAGCTGGAGTCTGATTGGGTCTCCTCATCTGTCTCTTGAGGAATTTCTGCACAAACAACATGCACATTTTACAATCGCTAACATTTCATTAAAAGTACTATACTATTAATTTTGTGTTTTGTTTGCTTGCTTGTTGCTTCTCTCTCGAAGATGTCTACGAAATAAGTTGTCAAAGTGACACTGGATGTAAAGAGGTCTCGACTATGAGAGTTTTGGGAGTATTAGGTTAAGAAGTCTCTCAAAGACAATGGGCTCAACTCATTCACTCCTGCAGGAGGCTATGCAACCCACCATACACAATTTGGTGAGGAGTAGATTAACGACGTGAGAAACAAGGCATTTGCCATTCATGGGCAGCAACTTTGTTCACAAGGCAAGTGACACCACTCGCCTCTTTACTCTCAATACTCCTATCATGCTGAAGAAAATTAATTCATTGTTTTAAAAACTGCATGAATAAAAAAAAGATTCAAAGCAAGATGTGACCAATGCATTAACCAGTACTTCCTCTCAGCTCACAGACAATGTGAAAAATCAGCAAAAATAAAAAGTAACAATAAATATTTACTGCACCCCCAATACATTTTTAGGCCCAAGTAGTTTATCAAATATAATTAACGCATTTTTCTGCCAACATTACTTCCATAAAAAGAATGGAAAGAGTGACATCATATCTACATGTGTAATTTGACATAAAAAGCCCAGTAAAGTTTATAAAGGTATTTTGTTATCTTCAAGGTCAGAACATTTGAGTCCCTTAAATTTATCTTGTTCTCCATAGTGCAGAAGCTTTTCCCATATTTTCAGTCAAATAGGAGCCCAGACCACACACGGACGAAATTCCCCTCACCTGGTGATATCACCTGGAGAAATTACTGTAAGAAGGGTTTCTTTTTAAAGCTTGTGCTTGGCTACTGCTGTCTATGTCCACATTGTCCATTCGTCAACGAGTTCGTTTGCATGGCTGCCCCTTGCAATGCCATTGTCTGACGTAACGTTCTTAGTCCCTTCGTCGAGTAAGTCGGCGGCGCGATTCTCACCTCCTCCCTGGCGGTAGACGCGGAAGCTCTCGGAGAAGGGCAGCGAGGGGGCGCCGAGGACGCCCGCCGCCTTGTCCTCCGCCGCGCCGCCCTTGCCGCCGCCTCCGCCGCCGGGGCCGGGGCCGGCGCCGGCGCCGCTGCCGCCGCCGGTGGGCTCGGGCCGCGCGCTCAGCGCCGCGTCCAGGTTCTTGCGCGGCCGCCCCACGCGCCGCTTGTTGGTGGCGGGCGTCGCCGCGGGCGTCCTGCAACGATCACCCGCTAGTGGAGGCGGGCCGGCGCCACAGGTGCTAGGATACGTATAAGTGGGCGTGTAAGAGACGAGGAAAGAAAGATTACGTACGGTTCGTGGCCTGTTTGTTACGGCACTCTTCCAGCATTCACTTGGTTGAGATGGAACAAACCGTGCAAAACTACCGATCTTAGGGTCTCAGTTAGGGTCTCAGTCGGGTCTAAAAACCCAGGACCTCCCGATCTGACACGGCGGAGGTAACATTACTAATACTCAGCTCTCTCCATTTTCAAGAGTGGGAGGTACTTCCCACAACACATTTCTCGGTGTAGTGGCTGAGCTGGCTCAGGGATTTCGAATTCAGTTTCCATATGGAGGAGAATTCTAGCGGCCGCCAGCTCTGGACGATAGAATTCGAGGTTTCTCCGATCAACATCAGGAGCATGCCCAAGAAGCTCCCCTACAAGCACTACACTAGCACACACGTGGGAACAGCAGCCGGGGCCTTAAGAGTGCGAGGTAAGCGTTTGGGGCGGCGCCGGGGCGGGGCGAGGCGAGGCAAGTACTCACGAGGGGGGCGTGGCGCCGGGCTGGTCGGGGCGGCGGAAGGCGGCCGCCGCCTGCGCCTTGCGCGTGAACAGCACGGCCGTGCGCCGGTTCACGCCCGACGGCGACACCGTCAGCTGCGCCTGCTGCTCCGCCGACACGCCCGCTTTGGCCGGCGTCGCGGGGCTGGCGGTGGCCGACGCTGCTGGGGCACACACACGCGCTATTACCATCCTTTATCTCAGGGACATTCTCTCAAATAGCGGAGCTGTGCTGGCAAAAGGAGTTAATAATGCGCAACCGTAAATGTGAAACCCCTAAACATGCAATTCAAATTACTGTGTATTATTATTATTATTATTATTATTATTATTATTATTATTATTATTATTANTCATCATCCCATGAATGTTTTTGAAAAAAGTTCCTGTAGATTCAGGAATAATGCATCGTAAATTTGCCCTACGATTGCAAAACGATGATTTATTTTAAAAACTTCATTTTCATAATAGTATTGTGTTCTCTTTCAAACGAGAATAAAAAAGGGACACTGATTTTAAATTCCTGAAATCTTCTAACAGAATCTAGTAGAAAGATTAGTTCAGAATCCTTTGCTTCAAGCACGTCCGAAATTCTTTTTGATTTTATCTCTACAAAAAAGGTATTTATTTTTAATTGTAATTAACTGCTGTAATTTATTTCTGCAACAGGGAAATGAATTGTTTATATAGGGGGTTAACGTTTGTTTGAAATAAAGGTCCCTTCTTAATCTAGAACCCACGACTCTTTATTTTCTCTTGGCGCACGTGCTAGTACACACATTTGCAGAGATGGTATAATTTTTAGTTTTTGCATTTATTTCATTTTACATCTTGTCGGCACGGAAATTACTGAGTATGAAAATGGTTTTAATACAACATTAATCAATTTTGGAGAAAGAAAAAAAAAAGATTTGACGCAACCATTTTAAGCCCATTCACAAAGCAAACAAACATAAGCATAGCGTCAACATAAAAGTTAGGACTCCGTCCGTACGCGGACTCGTTCGCATGCGTTCGCAACACGTAAGACGTTTACTTACTTGCAAGCTTCTGTGCTTATGTGTAAGTTAGACATAAAAAATTAACTGATCACAGAACCGTGACTCAAAATCGAGAATCGAAATTAGAGCGAAGTCGACAGAACTAACGCCATATGGGCTATGGATACAGTCGATACCTTGAAATCGACTCTCACATCCAACCAACAGTAAACCAGAATGTCAAATTTTGCTTATGTTTCTGAAGTGTGAGTTTCTGAAGTGAGTCTGTGATGCTCTGCTTACGTCGTTTGCATTGTGAATGGGCCTTTATTGTTCCTTGCTGTACCTTTGACGTGGCCAGCCGTGGCGGCGGCGTCCCCTCCAGGACTGGCCGCGGCGGCGGCGGCGGGGGCGGGGGTGGCGCCGGGCGGC